ATTTATTTATTTATTTATTTATTTCTGTGCTGGGGAATCGAACCCAGGGCCTCAGGAATGCTAGGCGAGTGCTGTACCACTGAGCTGTATCCCAGTCCTTACTTTTCTCTTTAATATGGTCTCCGCTTACCAGTGACCATGACCATCTATCTTTTGTCTCTGTCTTCTCTGTCTCTCTCTGTGTGTCTCTATCTCTCCCTCTCTCTCTTTAATGTATTTAGTACAGGGTCTCACTATACAGGTCAGACTCATAGTGATCCTCTTCTTTTTAGTCTTCCCAGGGCTGGGATTGCAGACATGCACCACCATGCCCGGTCTCTGTTGCTGGCTCAGCATGCCTAGGGGCAGGGCCAATGCGGTACCTGGGATGGAACTCTGGTCCCTGTGCTTGCCTAAGAAGGTACCTAGTCTGCTGAGCTATCTTGCCTGTCCTGGTGGCCTTTCTCTTAATCATGCGTGTGTGTGTGTGTGTGTGTGTGTGTGTGTGTGTGTTTGTATGTGTGTGTGGCCGGCTCAGCCCACCCTGGGAACGGGACTGGGTGCAGCATGTGGTGCCGTGGATTGAACCAAAGTAAGCAGGTACTTTATACTGCTGAGCTATCTCATGGGCCTTCTTAATCTTTTCTTGTTACGCTGCTTATAACCAGAGGCCTGTGGTCATGTCCAGGGGAATGGACAGGAGCTTTGAGACAAGAGACGGCTTGCACACCTCTTTGCTCTGTTGGCTCTGTCCATCCCTGCAAGCAGAGGAACAGACATCGAACTATCATCCGCTGCCATGCACCGGGCACTTGCACTTCACGACTAGGCAGAGGGAAGATGCTGCCCATGGGGAGAGGACCACTACTCCTGTGAGTAGGCCCTCAGGTCGAGAGCCAGTCCGTGCTCATGCTGGGAAGGTGTGAAGCTGCCAGCCTGCACACTGGGGCAGACAGGGAGGCACTGTGGTCCCGTCGTGAAGTCAGCTACAGCAGCCAAGAAAAAGCAGCGGGTTTTTTCAGCCAGAGTGTAGCGGGTTGGTGCAGGCGGTTCTGCCCTGCATCTGAAGGTCCTGTCACTAGCACTGCCAAGCTGTGTGGCTCTGTTGGCCTCAGGCTTCTCGTGTCTGCTTTATCTCTACCAGGGGTTGAATATTGAGCCCCTGCTGAGTCCCAGGGAACTGCAGGGTACAGACAGCCTGGTGTTCATGGAGGGTAGAAAGGCAGATCAGACACTCAAGGAGCAAACTCCATTCGATAGCTGGGCCTCTACCTTTGAGCATTCAGAATGCTGACTAGGAACACCTCTCCCTCTCCCGAGCACCCTAGAGGAGGTGGGGCTGCCTGGAATTCTGCAGCCTTTCTGCCTGCCCTCCAGCCATGCATGGACTGGGTAGACAGCACAGTGGCTCATAAATCAAGTTTGTGTCATTAATCTATTTCCACAGAGGGTTTATCAAAGACAAGCTGAAGGGTTTGGGGTGCTTGACAAGCATGGCCTTTGTTCTAGGGGACAAGTGCATTGGTCTCTGTGTCTGGCAAGAAATTGACCAAAGGACCATGATGAGCTGTCCTTGTCTTCATGTAGGCCCAGGTATAAGTTGAAACAGGAGGGCTGAGGCCAGCGAAATAGCTCAGCGGACTAAGTGCCTGCTTAGGCAAGCACAGGGACTGGGGAACCCGGCACCACATGCTGCAGGGCCCCGTCCCTGGGCACACTTAGCCACCCACCCAGACTGGGTGTGGTGGCACATGCCTGTAATCCCAGTGCTGGGGATGCCAAGACAGGAGGATCACTATGAGTCTGAGCTGCATAGGGAGACCCTGTACCAAATACATAAAAAAATAAAAAGACCCAACTGTCTGAAACTCTGTGTGACAAAATGCTAGCAGTGTAGTAGCTTGATCAAAATACTATTCCCCCTCAGTCTCTGCAGCCCAGGAGTCTGGACATGCGGGAGACCACGCTCAGTAACTTGGGGGACCACTCCAAGTTCCTTGTCACCAGGGAAAGGCACCTGCCCCCCTCCTCCCTGTCATCACTGTTGTATTTTCTTGGTGGGAAGGCCACTCTTCAAGAAATTGCACACTGCGCAGAAGGTGGGGGTCCTGGGGACACAAGAGTCCACCCCCACATCTCACTGTGGAAACTTTACCTGCCAACAAAAGCAGCCATGAAGTAAAAAATGTATCTTTGTATGAGGATAAATTTAAAAAAAAAAAAAATTGATAGGCTCTCCACACCCGTGTTACCAGAACTGATAGGAAAGGCTGCCCAGCCGCAGGTCCAAAGCAGGGAAGTGGACTCAGACAATGGAAAAGGACTTATAATTCAGTTATCAATTTTTTTGTACCAGGAATCGAACTCAGGATCTTGTGTTTGCCAAGCAAGCGCTTGTGCCACTGAGCTATATCCCCAGCTCTCAGTTGTCAATATTTGAAAAGCTTCCAACATGAAGAGACATGGCCTTCTGCTTAACTATTAACAAACCAGAACATTCAGTTACCTGGAAAATCTCCATCCCTAAAACATTCAGGGGATCTGAGCCTTCTCCAAAGAAGATCCTCCAGCCCATGAGAGTTATTCATGGCTCCCGATCGAGCTGCCACAGAAAGGGAGGGCCTTGCTGGGGCCCCCACTCATTCTTACTGCTCCACCGCTTCTATGCAGTGTCCACCCCACCTCCCAAGTCCCAGCCACTGTGTCAGGATGGAATTGACTGATGCCCCAGCCCAGCCCAGGCTCTGCTGAGCCCATCAGGGCGAGCACAATGGGGCACCAAAGGCGGAACACTATTTCTGAGGCTCATGGTTGATGGACCGCTGCACAAGCTGTGATTATCATTTTAATTGCAAGGCCGCCTGAGACCTTATATTCAGGGTGCAGGTTTCAAAGGCCACAAAAAAGCCCTCTGCATGCTTAAAACGGGCTGTGGAAATGTCTGTGCTGCCGGCGCCGAGAAGCCCATTGTGATAGCCTTCATTCTTAGCCTCCGGGTTGCAATCAAACCCTCCCAGAATGGAGAGTCTGACTCTGTTGCAAGGTGAACACCAGGCCCACTTCCCCTGAGACCCATGCTCAAACCCCTGGCCATTGCTGTCTTTTTTTTTTTTTTTTTTTTTTGGTGGAACCGGGGATTGAACTCGGGCCCTTGCGCTTGCCAGGCAAGCACTTATTCTACTAAGCCATCTCCCTGGCCCCTAATTGCCATCTTCTTAAGGCTGGGGCTAGGACTGCCCTTCCTCACCCTCCTACCTGGCAACCCTTGGAGCTCACCAATCCCTCCCGCCTGAGCAAAGAAGCCCTAGCAGGGTGTTCTGATGTCTTTTCTTGTGGTGTTCAAGCTGCTAGCAACCTTCACACTCTACCTTACGCTTCCGGGGGACACACCGCACTCCTAAATAGTGAGAAGCACATCCTGCGTTCCTTAGTGACCCTTCAGCGGGCAGGGTGCTTTACACAGTGGCAGGTGCTTTGTGTGAGTTGCTGGTACTTACCATCAAAATGTTTACTCAGTGAAGTTGAATATCTTCAGCTTTCCAGAGTGGAAAGCTCACCCAGCTTCTTTCTGTTTGCTTCCTGTTTAGAGTTAAATGGGAACTCCTGTGCAGCCTTGTACGTGCCTTGCGTGCTTAATGCACAGCAGCTCATGTCCCAGCTTAGAACTCATTACCCACCTGGGGTTCACGGTTTGACCTACAGTGACTGAAGACCAGAGTCAGCCCTTTCCAGTGAGTGGTTTTGTTTTGAGGTGCTGAGACTGGAACCCTGGGCCACCTGCATGCCGGGCAATTGCTCTGCCACTGAGCCATGGCCCCAGCCCTTCTAGGATTTTGTTTTTTAAGATAGGTATGCTACAGGATAACACATGTGTAGTACAAACATTAGGTTTGTGGGCCAGAGAGATATCTCAGCGGTCTACGCACCTGTCTGGCAAGTACCAGGACCCAAGTTTGATCCCTGGTACCGCATTCCATGCTGGTCCCCAAACTGGGTGTGCTGTGCCTGCCCCAAAACTGGGCATGGTGGTATACCCCCTGTAATCCCAGCACTGGAGAGGCTGAGACAGGAGGATCACTATGAGTCTAAGCTGCACAGTGAGATCCTGTGCCCATTAATTTTTTTTTTAATCTTTGGGTACCTTTATTCTATGTCCTTCATAAAAACACAAAAGTGGCTAATTTTTTCCATTATAGTTTGAAATATTAAAAAGATTGATTAGTAATTTATAATTAGCAATGAACTCTATTCTGAGTCACTGGCCAAGGAAAGTGTCAGTGACATAGGTCATAACTGTCAAAATAATTTTGAACATTCTGAACCCTTCTGAAATATAATGGAATGAATCATCACAACATCCATTAAATTTTTTAAAAAATCAAGTTTGCATGCAGCCTCTTTGCCTCTGAGTCCAGGGTGCTGTGATCAGAAAGGTTCCCATACTTCTGTGGCCCCACACAGCCATGATCGTAGCCTACAGCTGCTGCCGGGGAAATACCTTTTCCTCTTATCCTGGTCAGTGTAGGAGCTGCTTCCTCAGACGATTTTTAACCTTCTGTAGCAGCAGTGCTGCGGGAGCAAGTCCAGAACTGGCCTGCACATCTCACTTGCGTCTGAGAGTGCATCCGAGTCCTCTCAAGCCTGGTGGGGCTTACTGCATGTGGGTGAAGCACCGGGCAGGTAGCAGGGGAATTCTTTTCTTCCCAGTCATGTGTAGAGTCCCCCACCACTGCCAGATAGGACAGGTAGGCTGGATGGGAGTGTGGGCCTCTCTGGGGACACAGTGTCTCGTCTTTCCTCTGACCATTACTCAACATAGCTTAGTGTTAGCCATCCTAACATCGGCAGCTGTTGGTTGAGTGACAAAGTGAGTGTCTTAGGCTGGAGGTGGGGATGAGACCATGTCGGGTGGACTTACCTATGTGCCTGGGTGACTGGGGACACTGGGAGAAACAACAGCAGAGGAACTTTGCCACTGTCCCCAAGTGACCTCAGCAGCCTCCCCTCTTCTGTGCTTTCAGAACTACTTTGAGAGTTACCTTGCCATCGCCTCCACTGTGCCCTCCATGCTGTGTCTCGTGGCCAACTTCCTCCTGGTCAACAGGTAAGCCTCCTCAGCCCAGGCCCATACCCGCCTGTCTACTGCCGCTGGGGCCCTGCTTCCTCAGTGGTCACCAAGAGGGGGCAGCAGCTTGGACCTTTCACTGCAAGTCAGGTCCATTTCCCTTGGGGAGGCCCAGTCAGGACCTGGATTCTCAGCTTTTGGGCACCTGGGTGACCCAGTTATTAGCCAGCTTTGGAGTGTGAGGACACAGGGCCCTTCCTCCTCCTCCCAAGGGGCTTATCTGGGGATGGCCAACGTGGCAGGGACAAGGCGCACGGGAGCTCTTCTTGGAGCACCTGAGAGCAGTTGGAAGCTGGAGTGTCCTGCAGCTCCGGCATCTCTGCTGCCATGGGTCACCTCACCTCCTGGGGCTCAGCTGGCCGCACCAGTGGGTTTGTCTACCTTAGACAGTGGGCATTTCAGACATTTGGTTGGTAGGGTGGGGACAGCTCCCTCTGGGAACACCACGGAAGACAGGATTATACGGCAATCGGCATGATCCATAGATCCCATGTGTGACTCTCACGGCCCCTTCTTAGTCTAAGTTCTCAGGGCCACAGCCATAGCTACTTTGCCTGCATTTCCTGGGAGCTGCCACTGGGTGATACCAGAGACTTCACTGGTCCAGAAACCAGGGCTTCTTTGGACTCTGGCTCACTGAGACTCAGTTCACTGATGGGTCTTACTCTGCTCTAATCACTTTGTAAACTGCCAGGAGCTCAGGCTGAACGTGATTGTAAGGCGAGCCAGGCCACAGGGAATGTGCTAGGATTGATTAGTGATGCCTGCCTTGAGTACAAGCGTTCGGGGTGGCCCATTGTGGGTGCACACTATGCCTGAATAGAGCTGTCTTTCCAGACATCATGCTGTGGAGCTGTTCCATCCACTATGTGTTATGACCCCAAGCCAGGTGGCTCGGAACAGTAGCGATAGCTAGTTCCCCTTGTGCTCTAAAGATCAGTGAGGCTTGGCTACGGCTTTGTGTCCCTTGGGCAGTTACCACAGCAGCTAGGGCCAGGAACCTTGCTCCCACCCCCGCCATCTCTCACCCATGGGCCTCAGGGTAACAGGATTGTTCAGAGTGGCTAGACAGTGAGTGTCCAAGGCTGCCTGGGAGAAGCTTCAGAGTTCGCAACCTGATCTCCAAAGTCACATAGCATCACTTGCTGCACTCAGCTGATGAAGGCTGTCACAAAGCCCACGCGGTTCCAAGGGGATATAGAACATCTCCCATGGAAGGAGTGTCAAGAATGTGCCCCTCTGAGAACCAAGGTGCAGCCTGAAAGAGAGGCGAGTGTGTGATGCACTGAGGGCCTTGGCCTGCCCGGCGCTGGGGCTGCCACCACTGTCCTGCAGGGGCATGGCCTGCAGACCCCACCCTTGCTTGCGAGGGAAGGAGTAGTGCTGAGAGCAGAGCCAGCAGCCCCAGAGAGCAGAGCAGGGTCCCAGGCAGCAGCCAGCAGGAGGGAGAAGAGGGACAGCCCTGCTGGTGGGGAAGCACCAGCTGCCTGCTGCAATGCAACCTCTGTCCTGCCCACTTGTGGTCCTCTCTGTCCGATGGCTGCTGGCTCCAGGGACCACAGGATGTTTGTCCCTATAGGCTGGCCCAGGCTATCCAGACTATCACATGGGTGAAAGCTCCCATCCCCCTCCAGCTGGAAGTTGCCATCTGAATGGTAACAAGGGTGCCATGCCTTGCCACTCCCTTTCTCTGCCTGCCAATTCAGGAGGGAGTCTGGGATGTACCCCATTTTCCCAGGGGAGGTCAGGGGTTGGGCCAAGACCACAGGGCCAGGTCGAGCTAAATGGCCTGAGCTTGCATGTCCCCTGGTGCTATTTCCTCCATGGTTGGGAGGTCCACCAAGTGGGAAGGATCTTGGGTGGGGCTCAGAGGTGACAGCGAAGGTCCACCTTAGGGACCAGAAGGAAGATCACCAGTGACAGTAGCATGCACTTCTGAGCAGTCCTGCCCTGTGCAGGTTCCTTTCTACCCTCACGCAGCACACCAGGAGGAAGCTGTGACTGCTTGGCCCACAGAGATGCTGGCCCCAGGTGACAGCCATTAAGGGGGAGCCAGGGTTTGTCTCAACTGTGACATCGTCCTCCTCATCTGTGCTTGGAACCTCTGGGCCGTCTGAAGTCTGAGTTTTGCAATCCCCTCCCTGCTTTACCCCTGCCCCAGACTCCAGGCCATTGGGAAAGAAGAAGGCCACTGTGTAGGGGACATGGCTCAACATGCCCAGAGCCTTCTCGGGGGGCCAGCTGCCCTAGACCTGCTGCCCCTGCCCTTGCTTGAGCTCCAGGACCCGGCCAAGGGCAGTATGCGAAGCCACTCCCAGGCCTCCGTCTGTTTCCAGGCTGCAGGAGGACAGTTTGGGGCTGAGCTATTTTTTATTTAATGTACAAAACTGAAGTGTCTCCTCCTCTCCCTCCCGGAATACCCCGGCTCTCTCTGACTGGCTCATCCATAATCACCAAGTGTTTTATTATGTTAAATCTGCAGCATCATAAATACTCATGAGGAAGATTCACATTTTGGAGACATATGAAGAAATCAGTCCCCTGGAGGCCTGAGCCCTCACTGGTGAGGGAGTGGGGACAGCAGCCCTCTCCCAGGTTCTTCACTGCACCACCAGTTCCCCAAGAGCGTCTGTCCTGCACAGAGGGCAGCACAGCACCTTGTGGGTGTCTTGGGGCAGCTCATTTCAGGAAGCACTATGCTGGCTGGAAAGAGCCCCAGGCATGGTCCCCAGGGCCACGAGGAGCTCGTGGTTCTGATGGTTTAGGCAGCGGGGATGGGCAGGTGTGGCAGAGACCTGTACAGAGGAGGAACCTGGGGCACAGAGGAAGCTGTCCAAACTGCATTGCTTTGTGAAGCACTGGATATCTGGCTCCTCAGCCCCCACTTGCCCTGAAGGGGCCTAATAGTCAGGAGTCCCCCAGTTCCCGCAAAGCCACCTGCCCATTCAAGCAGCACCTTGCCTCGTGGTGGTCAGCACCTGGGAGGCCTCGTGTGGTAGGGCCACATTCTTGCTGGACTTTTGTCACCATGTCCACAAGGAGGTGACTGGAGGCAGAGGCCATCTGAGCCTGGCAGCTGTGCGCACTGGATTCCCATGGTGGGGAGCAGGTCACTCCCGGACATCTGGGCCCATGTGAGAAGCAGCCCCACACTGCTTCTGGTTCTTGCATGTCAGTTCGTGTGCAGCAAACATTTTGCTCAAGGAACTGATTAAAACTTTGGGGTTTGTCCTCTCACCCTCTGTCTCCACTTGAATCTCTTCAGATTCAGAAGCATCATCTGTTGGAGACTTCGGTGTTATGTACTCTGGTCTGTTTCACATTGGAGATAAGGAGATGGAGGCCCAGAGAGGGTTACTATTCTCCTGGGGTCACTCAGCAGCTGGTAGCTGAGCTGTGTGCGCAGGGCTCTCCTAGCTAAGGTGATAAGCTTCCTGGCTCTTATCTTGGGGGATGTGGGGTGCACAGGGCCTAGGTAACAGGGTTGAGGGTGTAGGATCACCCAGAACACCAGGGCTGAGGCTTGAATGCCAGCACCCAGGGCACTTGCCAGTAGCTGCTCCTCCTGGCCACCCACCAGCCCTGTCCTGGCCAACGCCCCTGCAGGGTCTTAGTGTGAGGTTTCCTAGAAACAGACTCTGAAACTCAAGGATAAATGTGAGGGAGGTGAAGCCGGGAGCCTGCGGGAGGCAGAAGGAGGGACGCAGCCAGGATAGGGTGCTTTATCCTCCCAGCCCACGGCAGCTGCCTGCAAAGAAGGAGTGGTGAGTGGGCCCACCAGCTTCCCGTCAGTGGTTGAAGTCTGCACCTCAGAGTTGTTAGTTGTCTGTCCCCTCCAGCCTGCTTCCTGGACCCGTGTGCCCTGCAGTGGCAAGCGAGGGGCACAGGCAGGAGACCAGTGGCCCCGCTGGAGAGTTTGTGGCAAGCTTGTGCTCCAGTTTGAAACCCTGATGTAACAAATGGGAAGGACACAAAGGAGGACTTTCTCATTCTGTAATTGAAAGTTAAAGTCAGGCTGGCCTTCAGGCATCATTGGATCTGAGAGCTGTCCTTCTGCCCTGTCCCTCGCTGTCTTTGCAGCGCCCCATCTTGTGTGCAGCCTCGCCCCACACAGCTGGCCAAGGGATGGAGAGCAGCCTAGATACTCCCAGGGGAGAGCAGGATGGGCACTGCCCCTTCCCCAAGTGTCCCCTCCTCTGCCTTCTTCGGGCTTCCACATGTCCAAGGGAAACCTGCCTGGCCCTGGGTGGGTCCCATGCTAATCTCTGACCCATCCAGCGGCCAGAAACATTGGCACCGGGCCTGCCCTGCCAGTTCCTGTGCCACCGTCTGAGGCTGGCCTGCTGTGGGGGACGTGGGTAGCACCCTCCCAGGATGTGTTGGCATAGAGGAGACTCCCAAGGCGGTCTGGCTCTCCTCCGGGTTCCCTTGGTCTCCCTGGGCCCCAGGCTCCCTGCTGACCCTCACAAAGCCAGCACCCTGAGGATCAGAGGAGGCTTGACTTAGCCCGGGACCACAAAAGCATTTTGTCAGCATCCTTTCTCATTCCACACTCCTCCTCATTTCACACCTATTGGTGTACACAGATCTGTTTTCTACCTTTCAAGTTTGTCTTTTGTATAAAGAAAAAAATCTGTGTGTATCTAATCTAGCTTTTCTCTCAGCTAACCCCTCCCTGCCCCCCACCCCACCCCACACACTGGTTAGCCGGGAAATGAACTAAACATCCAATCTGGTTTCCAGCTTAGTCTAATCTGATGATTGAAACAGACTTGGAGATGGTGCTGTCTCTCCTAGAATAAAAATGTGCCTCTTCTCCAAAAGCCTCCTTCCCGCCTTCCTCCCTGGGCGGGTGGAGGCTAGGAGGAGTGGATGGCGAGTACGTGGGGTGGCGTTTGGGCCTAAGGGGTTCCTGGCCCTGGGCAGCACTAGCTTGTGCCACCCAGAACCCTTTATTCCAGAGGCAGTAGAGCATTGCTCTGAGAGCACAGATAGGAGCTGGGCCCTGGGGTCACGGCTGAGTGACCTCCAACAAGTTCCCTGCTCTGTCTGACTATAGCTTTATTCCCGCATCAGCGGGCCCTAGGAGAGCCCCTGCCTGACAGAGGCGGGAAGGAGAGGTAGAAGGCACTTAGGAGTGCCCCGCACTGCAGTGCAGGCCAAAGGCTGCCTGTGTGTCCTCATGATGGTGGGGGAGGAGCCAGCTGGGCCTTCCCCTCCCCCACACTCTGTGGCTGAATTTGGGAAGGAGGAAACCCAGAGGCCATTGCTCTGTGCAGCAAAAGTGCAGTGGTGTGGGAGGGGAGCGCTCCTGAGCCTCACGGCCTGGTGAAAAGAGCAGTGTTCACTGCGCATCACCTCCCCAGTCAACTCCCCTCAAGAGGCAGCCTGACTCTGCCCTGTGATTCAGGTGCAGAAGCTGAAATCAAGGCACCCAATCCCTTTCCAAGGCACAGGGCTCATGGAGATGGGTAGGAGGGGTGTCTAATCACTTCTGGCATCCTCACTCCAGGGTTCCTGTCCGGGTCCGCGTCCTGGCCTCGCTGATTGTGACATTGTCCATCTTCGTGGTGATGACCGTGCTGGTAAAGGTGGACACTTCCTCCTGGACCCGAGGCTTCTTTGCTGTCACCATCATCTGCATGGCCATCGTCAGTGGCTCTGCCACCATCTTCAATAGCAGTGTTTTCGGCCTGACCGGCTCCTTCCCCATGAGGAATGCGCAGGCACTGATATCAGGTGACAGCTGGACACAGCCACCAGGTTTTTCTGCAGGGCCTGGGGAGGAGCAAAGGGAGGACTCACATTCCTTCCAGAAAAGGAAACGCATGCTAAGAGCCTTTCAGTTTCCCTGGACTTTGTGCCTTGTAGTCATTTATTTTGGTCATAGACCCATGACTTGGCAGGGACAGCTCTTTCTGGCTCTTCTCCATGTGGGCCTTGCCATGGCTGCATGGGCTTCCTTGGGCAGATCACAGAACAAATGTCCCCAAAGGCCAAGGCAGAACTTGGCCTTGGACTTGGACGTGTAGGGTTACTTCCACCGTGGCCTGAGTTGCACCTGACTCAAGATAACACAGACCTCCAGTGGAGACCGAGGAAATCAGGCTGAGCGAAGAACAGGTGGGAGGAGTTGTGGCCACTGAACTTCTGAAGCCAGCCTTCTCTCTCCTTTCCACCTCCCCCTCCTGTTTTTCCTCCCCTTACCTTTCTCCCTTGTTTTTCCTCCTTTTCCCTCTTCAGCCTTTTCTGTTCGCATCTTATAGAGGAGTTGCCCTGCCCCAGGGGCTCAGAGGTGACCAAGCACACATCCTCGAAGAGCTGACAGCCGAGGGAGCAATCTCCTTGGTCCCCTGGACTGTGACATTCCTGAAGTCTGTTCACACCAGCTTGGGCTGCCCCCACTTGCTGGAGTTGTGATGAGGATGCTAAGCCTGTTCTAGGCACCTTGGCTGCTTTGTCTTTCTTCCGCACAACCCCACCAGGTAAATAGGGCTGGGTTGTCAGCATCTGTGCCTTCCTGGGAGACCTTGGTCCCCAGAGCAAGGTGGAGGAGTGCTTTGAGCATTATCCTGCTGGGGGGAGGACTGCACAAGGAATCCACAACGCACCCATTAGTTATCAGTGCCAGGTACGATGTCTGGAAACCTTGACAAGCAGATGTCCCCTCCCCACTCCACACCAGTGCCAGACATCACTAACAGATCTCTGTCTTTCCTTCTGAGCCTCTAAATCCTTCTCCACGCAGCACTTGAGGCAATTACTCTCCACGGATCAGAGTCTAGATGTGAGCTGCAGTGTTTGCCTTTTTTGATACAGGATTAGGTACCTAGCTCTATCCTGGGAAATCCTTGGCCCCCATCCCACCCCCCCAAAAAAAACTCATTAAGTCTCCTGAGTACAGTCAACATGCCCCTAGTAATGCTTCAAAAAAGGTGTCTGGGCTGAGGGAAGGGGCTATCACACATTAATCCCTTCTGTCACCCTTAGCCTGAGGAGCCCTCTCCTGAATCTCCTTCCATTCTGCTGGAAGACTTTTCCATGTGACTTCAGCTGTGCCAGGCACCTGCCAGGGTCACCCAGTGACCCAACACACCACTTGTTTTGGCAAGTGGCCATTTCAGTCCTCCCTCCACTGCCCAACCTTCCAGAACTGGAGCCTCCTATGGAAATTATTACAGTCCATTTTTACATAGAAGTGGTAGCCAACCACAGTGGTGCATACCTGTAATCCCAGCACTCTACAAGACAGATAGGAGGATTGTATGTTCAGGTCCAGGCTGAGTGATTTAGCAATTTAGCAAGACCCCTCCTCAGAATTGAAATAGACAGATAGGTGGGAAGGCTTAGTAAGTAGTTAGACCTCAGCACCAATTACCAGAATTCCCACCATTGTCACCCCTGTGCTAGGCCCCCATGGGCACGGGACACCCCGAACATTAGAGGTGTCCCGAGCTCCCAGAGACCCCAGCTCCCCTAATTTTTATCCATCCAGAGAAGCCCATCTGTGAATTCTACACATGTTGGCATCTGAGAAACAATTCATTTGTTTTGTACTGGTGGTGGTTTTTTTTTTTTTAAATCCCTCATTTGCATGTATTTCCATAAATGATGAGATAAAAGTGGGAGTCATGAAGGATGAGCTCCCGGAGGCCTGCTTGGCTGTTGATGATAATATTGTAAATTCTCTCCAAGTGGGAAAGGGAGGGGGCAAATCAATAGGCTGGATGTGCAGATCGCTCCTTCGGGCGGTCGCCGCATGTCGTACTGCGCGTCACCCCACTTCTTACAGGACGCCCAGGTGGGGATTACTGCTTCTCAGAAGTGGGTACCCTCTTGGCAAAGGGTTTACCCTGTTGTTGCCGCTTTGATGTAGGAAAGACAGAAATAGCCCAATGCCTAATTGGGAATCAGGGAGGATTTATTTGGTGTTTGGCACTTCTGTGTCAGGCACTGTTTGGAGTACTTCACACATAATAAGCCTCTTAGTCTTCCGAGCAGGCCTTAGGGGTGGGTACCATTAATATCCCCATTTTATAGATGAGGAAACAGAGGCTTAGAGGGGTCAAGCGGCTTGCTGGAGGTCACACAGAAGTAATAGAGCTGGGAGTTGGTGCCCCTAATCACTGCTAATCTGTTCATCTTTCCCTGAAGTTCTAGTTTCTGGCCCTATCCAAGCCAATAGAATTCGTTCAGGAGAAGTGAAGGGCCATGATCATCCATCGGGGCCAAGGACAGTTAGTGGGGAGCCACAGAGACATCATGTAGCGCGGGGGAGAGGCGCTGTCGGTGGGCGGGGCTTCGGCGGCCTTTGCAGCCTGCCCGCGCTTGCGCGCAGCCTGCCCGCGCTTGCACACAGCCTTGCGCACGGCCGCTTGCTGTCAGCTGTGGGCTGTCTGCCTTCTCCTCTTGGAGGCTCAACATCTCGCTGCTCTGGAGGGGTTGGATGAGCACCTTCAGCAGTCACACACAGTCCCAGGCATTTCCGGTACTGAGAACTGTGGTCCTGCCCCATTTTCTCTCACTGTGGTCTCGTGATGGGTAGGGTGCATGTTGATCCCTTTTTCCAGGCAACTGGACAGGATCTGCGGACAGTGAATGACCTGCCCACACAGCAGGGCTCCCAAGCCTTGTGACTCTTGGCAGGCAGCAGTTGACTCCTTGTGGCTGTGATGATCAAAAAAAAGACACCCTGGCTCCCACAAGGACCCGTGTGATTGTGGCCAGGAAGGGAACCAGCACTTGATGACAGCTTGCTGTGTCCCAGGGCCTTTCCCAGTGTCATCTGTCGGTCTTCAGGGCAGCTGTGTGAGCTAGGCATTGTCATTTCCATTTCACAGATGAGCAAACCGGAGCCCAGAGAAGGAAGTCACGAGGGCAGCAGGGTCACAGCTCATGTCGGGTGAAGTAAATGTCAGGCATCTGTTTAGTGGGTGCCTGGACCCACTGACCTTCCGCTGGGTCGTGCTGTCCAGTGCATGAAGGAGTTAGGTAGCTGGGAGAGCTGTGGTGGGCACCTGGTCACACAGGTCGCATGTGTGGAAACTGTTGGCAAGAACAGCATTCCTTGGCAGGGGCTGTGTGCTGTGCAGGTGTGCGTAGGAGTGAGGCGTGGGAGCGGCACTGTGTGGGCAGGGAAGGATGTCCCCGATGGGACGGCCATGGGGCTGCAGGCAAAGCGCCGTCCTGAGCTGCTATCCAGCGCAGCTAGTGGGTGTTCTGCACCAAGGGTGACAGAGACGACCTCCAGACTGCTCTGAGATGTCTCACGTGCACCCAAGCCTCCCAGGCGGGCAGGAAGCAGAGGGAGAGGGACCAGGCAGGGGCGGGCTGGAACTCTCCCTGTCTACTGCAGCCTCAGGATAATGAGAATTTGGGCGCTTCTTACATGGAGGGGGACAGTTTTTATTTTGGTCTGAGCAGAGATCCCACGGCTGCGCCTCCCCAGTGACCCCCTGACCTCTGTGGTGTCCTCTACTCCCCGTAGGAGGAGCCATGGGAGGGACCGTCAGTGCGGTGGCCTCGCTGGTGGACCTGGCCGCATCCCACGATGTGCGGGACAGCGCTCTGGCCTTCTTCCTGACGGCAGTCATCTTCCTGGGGCTGTGCGTGGGGCTGTACCTGCTGCTGCCGAGGCTGGAGTACGCCAGGTGAGAGCCCGCTCTCGCCCTGCCCTGCTCCCATGTGCACGGCTCGGCGTCCTCATTGCATTGGGATCCATCTGGTTCTTTGTTTATTGCCAGTCCCTGCAGGAGCACAGAGAGCCCTGTGAGGGCAGAATCGCCTGTGAACTTCGTTCTCCGTGTCCCTCTAGCCATGACTGGCTCCCAGCACTGGTGAATGTAAGACCCTAGAAAGGCAGGCAGCAGAAGTGAGGACTGAGCTATAATAATAATAATAAATGAGGGCCGGGGAGATGGCTCAGTGGAATAAGTGCTTCCTTGGCGAGTGCAAGGGCCTGAGTTCAATCCCCAGTTCCACAATAAATAAATAAATAAATAAATAAATAAAATAATAATAAATGGGCACAGTGGTGTGCATGTGTTATCCCAGCATTCCAGGAGGCTGAGGCAGGAGGACTTTGAGATCAAGTCCCACCTGGGCAACTCAGCAACTTATAGAGAGCCTGTCTGAGGATGAAAATCAGTGTGAAGTTCCCGAGTTCAACCCCCAGTAACAGTAAAGGAGCCAGACAGACAGACAGACAGACAGACAATCTGGGGGGCTCAGGCATGCTGAGTGTGACAGTTCTCACCACTTCATACTCCCATGCCCTTGTTCCTCACAGGATTGGGAGTCATTACTATTCCAACACACAAATTAGAAAACCATTGATCAGGGCACTCGAGTTACTTTGAGCACAACCCTAGACCTGTCCTTCCAACCACCTTTCTGCCCTCAGGATCTCTTTTCAGGCCTTGAGTCTCTTTTGCTTTCTGTCTTCTGTTCCTCCTTTTCCTTTTTTGCTTTCTGCTGCTCTTTTTATTTTTTATATATTTTTGTATTTTTAGGGAAGGATCTCCAGGGTATTCAGGGTCTCAGTACTAGATTGGACTCCTAGTGATCTGCCTGTTTACAGCCTCCCAATAGCTGGCATTACAGGCATGTGCCACCATGCCCAGTCTCAGTTGCCATCTCAGTGCTCCCTGGGGGTGGGGCTGGCATGGCGGGCATGGGGATTGAACTCCTGGCCTCTGCGCCTGCTTGCAGGCACTTTAATCTGCTGAGTTATTTGGCCAGCCCTCCTGCTCAAAGAAAGAAAGAAAGAAAGAAAGAAAGAAAGAAAGAAAGAAAGAAAGAAAAAATTGGCTTTCTCTAATGTTTCCTTCTTCTCAAAGCACTTTCTTAGTCATTATCTGATGGAGGGGACAAAAGAGCTAGCCCCATTTTACAGATGAGGACACTGAGGCCAGGATTAGGCCAGCTGGTCTGCCTGAGGTCCCTCAAGCAGGGCTGGGAGGTCTGTCCTTATTCTGTCCTTTTCTATAGAGATCTACTCTTTGCAGCAGCTCTGTGCCTGGCAGTTTACATGTATTTTTTGTTTTTTATACCACTTATGACAGTTTGTGTCACTGTTGTAGTATCTTCCTACTTTATAGATAAGGAAACTGAGGCTCTGAGTTACCAGACCTGCTCCAGGTGGCTTGCTGGTCAGTGGCAGGCAGGGATTGGACCTTGAGGCCATTTCTAGATCTTGTTACCCAGCATTCCTTGTGACCTTAGGACCCTTTCCCCGGGCTTCTTTACCCCTGTCCTTGTGAAGGATACCATCTCCTGGATCCCTGAAACCCCCTGCCTCCATCAAAGCCCAGTTGCTTTCCCTAGGTATGGGGTTGGGGTTGTAAGTCTTATCAGCTGACCTCAGTGGCTTTAGGAGGAGAGGGGACGGAGCTACCAGATGCTGGCGTCTCAGTCTCCAAGGCATGGGCCAACCCCTCAGCCGGAACTGCCGCACTGTGGTTCCTGACAGCAGCCTTGTGATTCTCGAGGTCCTACTGTTCACTGGTGCACCTAGACAGCCTGGCACCTTGACATGCTTGGGATTTTCCTTTTTAATTTTGAGACAGCACCTTGCTGTGTAGCCCAAGCTGGCCTTAAACTCACATCCTCTTACCTTAGCCTCCTGAGTATGTGATTACAGGCACATGTCACCATACTTTACATGAGTTTTTTTTAAGTTTTATTCATTTATTTGGTACAGATCTCACTACGCAGCTCAGACTTGTAGTGATCCTCTTGTCTCAGCCTTCCCAGCATTGTGATTACAGGCTTGTGCCACCACACTCAGTTTTGGTGGCTAGCACGGTGCGCCCAGGGTTCCATGGCTGGCACAGCATGTGGTACCGGGAATTGAACCCAAGTCCTTTCATGTGCCAGGCAGACGCTTAGACCACCGAGCTATCTCCCCAGCCCCATGAAAATATTTTTTAGTCCCTGAATAAATGAAGGGGTAAAGAATCTGCCACTCCTGCTCTCTACACTTTTTTATTTTTTTTTTTTCAGGACTGAGGATTGAACTCAGGCACTTCTGCTTGCCATGCAAGTGCTTATTCTACTGAGCCATCTCCCCAGCCCCTCCTTCTCTACATTTGTATTGAGGGTGCTTTGAGCACATCTGTTGCCAGTAGTACAGCCAACTGCCCCAGTTGCCTGGGACTTTTGCAACCTCCAGATCAGGAGACCTGATCTTTTTTTTTTTTTCTTGCGGAACCAGGGATTGAACTCAGGCCCTTGCACTTGCCAGGGAAGCGCTTATTCCACTGAGCCATCTCCCCGGCCCTGCCTGGGACTTTTAAGCAAAGGAAGATAGCTGGTCACCCCCATTTCCATTTCATTGGAATAGGAAGCCCCATTTCCAGTTGCATTTGAGCCTTGGAGCCAAGCACATGAGGAGAAACCTGCAGGACCTGCTGCCCTATGCAGCTTCTGTTTCTCTGCTGATTAAAACCCAAGCTGAGGGACCTGGCTTTGCAGAATCCTGCTGAGGGTGACACGTGGTGCCAAGAGAGTTACACAGACAAAATCTGGCAGCCTGAGGCTCACTGGGGAGGAAAAGCCAGGCTTAGATGGAGGAACTTAGGAAGAGGAGCTTGGGTCTGAAGAATTTGGTAGACTGCTTCTACAGAGTCAGGGACCTGGGGCCATGGTCAGGTACTTGAAAAAAATTAAAGTGCCCTCAAGGAGATGAATAGAACAGGTTGCTAGGGTGGGCAAGAGTTGGGGCAGAGATAGATTGGTACATCCTATGCAGACAGCAGTTTATAAATATCTATAAAAATTGTGTTTTATTTTGTTTTTTTTTTAATTTTTATTTATTTATTTGAGAGAGAGAGAGAGAGAGAGAGAGAGAGAGAGAGAGAGAGAGAG